CAATCTGTCAATCATCCACCATCCCCGACGACTATCACCACTACCTCCTTCTGTACCCCGTTGCACAATCCTCACGCCCACCATCATCCGATCCACAACCTGATCTACGTCCACGCGTACTATTGAAATCGATTTTATCGATCGTCGATAAACAAGCTCTCTTCTTTCCCCATTTTCTTTTCTCTCGTTTTTTTTTTTTTTTTTTTTTTTTTTTTTTTTTTTTTTTTTTTTTTTTTTTTTTTTTTTTTTTTTTTTTTTTTTTTTTTATCTTTACCTGTGTTTACGCGCGACAATTAAATCGGCCCCGCCGATTTCTTCGCGCGTTTCGATTCGGATTTGTACCGTGCATCGGTCGTTAACGTGGATATAACGTGGATGATTTCGCCGAGATCGAATTTTTATTTATGTTCTCACTCTTATTTGGGAAGAAGAGACCGGTTGAGATTCATTTCGAAAGGAAACATTTCGGAGGTTTGAAGAACGTTCGAGAGAAGATCGGGGATCCAAAATTCGAGATTTTCGAGAAAAAGAAAAGAAAAGGCAAGAACCTAAGGCTGGAAATCGGAGATATCTCGATGGTTCTCGTCGATTCTCCCGAGATCATCTCGATGGGGTTGAGGAGAACGTGTTATTCGTTCCATCGACCCAAGGAAATCTTATATTTATATACGATATATTATATTCGATAAATCAGTATAATCCGTGCGCGATGTGAAAACGTGTAAAATCCGAAAAAGAGAAAAAAAGAAAAAAAGAAAAAAAAAAAGAGAAAAAAAATTATAATAAGATACGTCGCGTAAAATATAAAATAAAATATTCAGCTTCGTTGTCGTTCGTTCCAGATGGGCGAGAAAATTATTTTTCGATTTTATTCGATCGGGGTCGAGTTGTCGAACGCTTAAACGACCATGATCCGCGCGAAACTGCGCTGTGACGATGATTTCACGGATCGTTTGTAGCAGGGCGAATTGGAGCGAAACGAAGCTCATTAATGACGAAACGGAAACGAAATGGCGAGTCCGTGCCTCTGCAGAAAGGAACACGGCTCCTCGATCGGTAACTAGGCAATTATATCGGTACGTTTTTGATGAAACGGTGTGGCTCTAACGATTTCTATATAACCTTTTTAGTAATCACTTATCATAGCACTGTACGTATATGGTGAATACGAAATTTAAGAAAGTTGCATTACGCGAAGATAGGGGTTAGAGAGTTCTCGAGAACGGTGGCGCCATTGGCGATTGATTTTTTTTTACTTTTTTTTTTTTTTTTTTTTTTTTTTTTTTTTTTTTTTTTTTTTTTTTTTTTTTTTTTTTTTTCTTTTGTTCGTGCGATGGATTGTATGATTGGATACAAATCGGTGGAAGCAACTATTAATGGCAACGACAAAAAAAAACGTGATTATTAATAACGATGAAAAACTCGTGATTATTAACTATTATTATTAAAATGATAGATAGTAAGATATCATGGTGAGGAGTGGATTAGTCAGAAGGTGTGCAACGATCTTCGATGTGTTTCAGATTTTTAATAAAAAGCGATATTTGTTTTTTTGTAATAGTTTTTCTCAAGTTTTTTTGATTTTTATTTCAAAGAATCAATTTAAAATAACAAAAGCTACTCGTGATGTGAACACGTTCGAAATCACGAAAGAAATTGCTTAAAATGGAGAAAAATTAAATCAAAACTGAATGTAACGAATGCAGGAAATGTTAAAAGTCGATTGATATAAAAGCAAATAGGAATTTGTAATTCCATGCTCTTAACAATTTTTATATAAAATCTAAAAAAAAGAAAACATAAAAACGCGAACAAGTAAAATAATGATTAAAAAAAAAAAAAATAACCAATTTCAAATATTTCTTTCTAACATTTCATTAAATTAAAAATCCTCTTTTAGCGTAAACAATTTTTTTATACATCATCAAAATTACAAACAAATACTGTACAACATTTCCTGCCTCGTGATTTTCAAAAAGTTCGCTATATAATTACTTTTCTTTCCAATTATAACTTAACCCGAACATTGAAAGAAATAAACGATTACCCGATACAATTGAAGATAAATTTATTTAAAAATACATTTATATCTTTACATAATTATGAATAGAAGAAAAAAGGTCTCGTCTTCAAATTACTTACTTACACAATTAGAGGATCGTATCGTTCAAAACAAAAACAAAAACAACGTTTAGAGAGAAAGAACATCGATCTAAAACAACGAGGCACGAGCGCAGTATATTTTCATCCCTCGAAAACGGATAACGACGGATTTTAATCGAGACTCGCAAATTACCGTTTAGATCTTCGTTAAGTAACACAAGTGGAAAACGCGCAACGATAACGTTTCTTCTACTGTGCTCTTTTGCAACGAAAGCTTTCCGCCCCGCCCCCCTCTTTTAGATAAGAGGGATAAGTTTTATAACGTTCGAGTTTACAGATTTCCCCGGAGCCTGTATCGCTTCTTTCGCCCGCCGGGTCTTCTCGCGGAATTAACAAGTTTCGCCCGTTGGATCGGCACGGCGGAAAATGAATAAAATCGGCGGCCAAATCGGAGGGGAAGGGGAGGAGGGAGTGG